GGAGCCTCTCTGGGCCGTCTTAGGATCCTAGTGGGGCGCTTCAGGGTAGTCTTGCGGGCCGTCTTGGAAGCCTCTTGGGCCGTCTTGGGGCCTCTGGGGGGCCGTCTTGGGAGCCTCGTTGGCCGTCCTGGGGCAATCTTGGAGGCCTCGTGGGCGATCCTTGGGGCCTTCGTGGGCCGTCGGAAAGCCAATAAGAAGCAATAGCCAGAGACATTCAACACACATTGAAAAACCGATGTTGGTGGCTTCGTCGGGCCTTCCTGCATGTTATCTTGCAAGCCTCTTGGGCTGTCTTGGAGGCCTGTTGGGGGATTACTGGGCCGCCCTGGGCCATGTTGAAGCCATCTTCGGCCGAATTGGGTAAAATTCAAGACAGTTTGGAAACATCCTACGGTCATCAAGGACTCTGTCAAGGGCATCCTGGCCTTCATTGAAGGGGCCCTAGGACACACAAATAAATACACACAAATAAACATATGCCCCATATTTTCATATGTTTTTAAAGTGTTTGTCTTCCCCCCCACTTCCCATATTTCCCCATATGTTCCTGGGGGATCGACGATTCATTGTGTCTGTGTGTTTTTTCCTCTCCTGAGTCAGGGGGGCCCCCTTGAGATTCTGGGAACCTTTGGGGCCGAGGCCCAGAGCCTGGCAGCCCCCGAGATGCTCGGCCGCCCACGAAAGGAATGGGCAACAACGGCGACGACGACGACGACGACGACGACGACCCACGACGATGACGACGACGACGACGACGACGACGACGACGACGACGACGACGACGACGACGACCACGACGACGACGACGACGACGACGACGACGACGACGACGACGACGACGACGACGACGACGACGACGACCATCCGGGTCGCGGGCCCGCCGGGCCAGGCGACCGCCGGGGAGCGCCTGCGTGGCCGCCGGGCGCCCCCGCGGCACAGCGGGCGGCGGCGGCGCGGGGCACCAGCGCGCCTGCACCTCCGCGAGGGGGGGCAGGCGCCCGCCGCGCCGCGGCGCTTCCGCGAGGGCCTCCGCCAGGGCGGCGCCGTCGGCGTCGTCGTCGTCGTCGAAGTCGTCGTCGTCGGCGTCGTCGTCGAAGTCGTCGTCGTCGTCGTCGTCGAAGTCATCGTCGTCGGCGTCGCCGTCGGCGTCGTCGTCGGCGTTGTCGGCGTCGTCGGCGTCGTCGTTGGCGTCGGCGTCGTCGAGGGCCTCCGCGAACTCGGCGCAGCGGGCGGAGGCGGCGGCCCGCGAGCGCGCCACCCGCAGACTCGAGATCAGCACGTCGGCGCAGATGTCCTCGGCGACGCTCCGGGGGCCCAGGGCTCGCGCCCAGCGTGGTCTGTCGAGGAGGAGGAGGAGGAGGAGGAGTAGGAGGAGGAGGAGGAGGAGGAGGAGGAGGAGGAGGAGGAAGAAGAGGAGGAGGAGAAGGATTTCCCTCGACGGCCCCATGGGCAGAACATCACCACCGACGGCCTCAGGTCGATGCTGCTGTACGCGAAGCGTCCTCGCGTTGCCGAATCCCCTTTGCCAGGGCCGACATTCCAGGTGTCGAAATCAGGCCCGAGCGGGAGGAGGACGAGGAGGACGGGCCAGCGCCCGCTGCCTTGAGCAAGACATACTTGGCCGAGGCACGACATGCGGTGCCAGAACCTGCAGCAGTAGTGCCACGAGACCTGTAGTGGGGCGGGAGACCTCGGCGTATGCGGGAGAGGGCGCCTCGCCCACCAGGGCCAGACGGTCCGCACATCTCACCGAAGAGGTCGCAACGCTTGCTGGTGAAAGCGCCGCATCGGAAGCAGATAACAGTCGGGGCGTACTCGTCGTCCTGAGCAAAGGTAGTGCACAGGATGTGGCCTCGCTCGCTCTCAGCACCTTGCAGCCGACGGAGTGCAGTGGGCAGGCCCTTGCATCCATCCATGGGCCTACCATTTCCGAAGGTCGTCTTGAAACATGCGGAGCATCTCGAGGTCGAGGGGGTTTCGTCATCACCCCGGTCCAAGACAACCCTCGGGACCGCGGGGTCCCGACGAAACTCGAGTTTCGGAAAAAGCGAGAGACCAGCACCGAGCATGGCATCCAGTTTTCTCAGCAGTGCCACGCCCCTGTCAAAATGCTCCAACTCGTCCTCCGCGAGGGACGGGCGGAGGGACAAATCAAACATAGCCAGACGGTCCGCATCCTGGTTGCCAAGGGCTCTCTTGCGTTCCTGGGCCGGAAGGGCAGCCATCACTTCGTCAGACCAGCGCGCAGGTGTGTGCGCGAGAGAAACTGTACACTGTTGATCTGGCTCCTGGAGGGCACGCCTCCGAATGCCAGCAAACACCTGGCCTGGGTCCAACTGTGAGGACGGGCGAGCGTTGGCAAGAGCAACAGCCCGAGTCAATCCGAATGAGCCTCGCAAAGGCCAGCCTGTGGCCACACAGGAGAGCATGGCGGCCCCTAGGTGTTCCCCCGCCCGGGGTGTCTGGGGGGCCCAGGCCAGACCGTGCCCATGAGTCGAGCGCGAACCTCATGCGGGGTCTCGCTCGACGGATCGAAGAAGACGGCCGCACAGGTGGCCCGATTCAGCTCACGGGGCGCTAACTGAATGGCCGAACCGTCAATGGCAATTCCTGATTTGACAGTGCAGCCCCAAAATTCCTCGATCGATTGCGGCTCGCCTGACGGCACCTGGAGAAGAGGGCCAAAGTCGAGGCAGGGTGGAGGTGCCTCAGGCTGAGCCATCATCAGACGGGACCAACACAACAGTTTTTTTTTGAACAAACAAAAGAAAAAAAGAAAGGAGAGCAGTGACGAGCCGCTTGGACCTCCTCTTCTGAGAGATGCTCGCGGCGTGCTGCCTTGACGGTCGGGTCCGAACAGATAGGCTGGCCGTGGACCATGCGACCGGGTTCCCCTCGCAGCGGACAGGCCCCATCAGAAACGGACCCCGAGGATTTCAACCGATCCGCAGTCCAGCAGGCCCCCCCCAAAAAAAAAAAAAAAAAAAAAAAAAAAAAAAAAAAAAACGAAAAGAAACAAACGCGGAGAGCCAGTGCGTCTGCCGACCGCCAATCTCTTTGAGCGCAGCAGGCGCCTCACGGGGTCAGGTGCTACGCGGGCATGGGCAAACTCAGGCGTGGCCGAGGCCATCCTGCGTTCGTGCATCCGCTGGGCGCCCTCCTCGAGCAGCTCATTGGGCAGCGCGGGGGCAGCGCGTGGCAAGTCGATGACATATCCCCGCTCATCGTGCCAAACAGAGAAACCCACGCCTTCCACATTCCTGCGAAGGCATAACAGCATCCCGTGAATCGGCCCACGCTGCCTTCTCCAGCCGGTGGATTCCATGTCAATTTCCTGGCCCTGATCGACATCCTTCCAGACGTGGCTATGCTGTCGGAACAAGGGGGGGGGGGGATGGATCGCCGCAGGCTCGTAGCCCACTGATGGGCTGGCGCCGCGGACTGCTTCATGTAGAACCAGCTGGGCCGTCAAGGAGGCCCCCCGATGCGCTGGATTGCCCCCCTAGAGAGAAGGACGCGCTGCAAAGCCCGAAGCTCGGGTCCAATATGCCTAAAACCATGGCGCCGCAGCCAGCTGCAAGACGCACTTCAGCACTGTATGTCTCGTTCTAGACTTGCCCCTTGGAAGCTTTCGACGGTCGTGAGAAATCAAACGACGTCTTTGAATCATCATCCTGAAACGCTCCTTCCGCTTCCCCACCCCCCCCTGAAGGTGCGCCGTTGGCCTGAGGCCAGGCCCGAGCCCGGCGAGACGGCCGAGCTGCGCGCAACCGACGGCGCAAGCGGCAGGCAAGACGCTGGGAGGAGGCGGAAGTGACGGCCCTGTCCTCGGCCAGGCGAAAAATCAGCCCGCGGTCGAAGAGACTCTTGAGATCTACCCTCGTCGCCGTAGGCCGCTGCGGCGTCGTCGTCGACGCAGGGCCCGAGGGGGGCCTCAGGGCGCCTGCGGGGCCGCATATCAAACTCGAACACAGCATGCACCTTGACAAGACGACGTTGAATATATCACCATCTGGGGGGCCAGACTCAGCGAAGAGGACCAGCGGGAAGCGATTGGCCCCAAGCCTCAAAATCCTGAGAGATCTCCAGAGGTTATAGAGCGCGTTGACGAGCGCCATGGGGGCCCTCCAGAAAATGGCCCGATCGCGGAGCCAGACCAGGAGGCAAGACCCAGAGTACTTCGCGCCGCCCCAGAGAAAGCCTGCCGGCCTTGCCACTCGAAGAAGCCGGCTCCGAGAGGGCGCTCTGGTTCCAGATGGCCGCTCCTTAGTTTTGCCCCGAACCGAAAGACCAGTAGGGCCAATGGGCCCGCTCCGAGAAGTCATCGCGTTGACGCCGACGCAGCCGCTCCCAGACTCGGACACGGGACCCCAGGAGCAGGATCGGGCGCAGTCCTCCTTTCGGCCTCTCCAAGAGAGGCATCAGCGCCCACGGCAACTGCGTCGGGAACTAACCTACGCGCTCGACGGCCACGTAGAACATCGCTAGGGCCTCCAGCCCCAGGTCGCTCAAGCAGGCGACGCGCCTTGGGTGGTAGCCGTTCAGCGAGTGGGAAGTGCAGCGGTTAAAAAAAGCGAGGCAGCCCATATCTCCGAAGGGCTGGCGCGCGGGAAACAATCTCGATTCGGAATCCAGGCCGGCGGCGGAGTAGTCCGAGCATTCCAGAACTCGCCTAACTTGGTGGTCTCCGCGGACAGGGGGCTCTGAGGGTCCGAAGTGAAGATGCCCAGGGGGCGCTCGACTATCGCGGGCTGTCATTTCAACTGGATCTTCGCGAACCTATGCATGGGTCTCGCGGAGCCCGACAACGACTTAGCCTGCCAAGAGTACCAGGATTATTTAGATGCCTTCTCGCCATCAGTGATGGTCTCGTCATAGTCGGCATGGATGTCTTCTGAATGCTCGGTGGCCCGATCGCGCCACGCCTGGCCCAGAGGGCGGCCAGCGCTCCAGGACAACGCAATGTCGCGCATCGCGCGCAAGGTGGCGCCTAGCCAGGGAGTCAAACCTTCCCCAGGGCAGGAGTGCTGCAACGCCGCCCGGAGACGCCGGCAGGCGCGCAAGTCGCATGCATCGGCGGCGGCCGAGTTAAACGGCTGAGTGAACGCTTTTACTTTGGAAAACCAAAAAAAAACGCATACAACCAGCGATGAATGGAGCTTATCACCTGGATTCTTCGGGCGATAGAGAACTGGTGCCCAGGGCGCCTTGATCGTTCTGCTCCTCTCCCCTAGCTCCTTCGCCTCCGTGCCCAAGACCCTGCGTAGCTCCCCTCCAGCGCAGCCGACGAAGTGGCCCGAGGCATTGGACAGAACGGACCACGCAGCAGTGGCGGGCGAATGCGCACAAAAAGCGATGGCCTGAGCGGCGCGCACCAGGGCGCCGCGCCGCTCCACAGGTGACGGCGCGGGCCCGAAAGGCGGACCCAGAGGCAGCCTCTGATGCGTGCGATAGACCAGTTGCTTCAATCTAATCGAGCACCCGCAAATCCCCAAACGAACGGGCCGATGCGGCTTTACTTCCCGGGATGTGCCCGCCGAGACCTGAGCAGTGAGGCGCGACGCACCAAGGCCCGCGGCGAAATAGTCGATCGCGCTGTTGGACGACGGCGCGCGACAAGTAGAGGCCGAGGGAGACGCGATGAGCACGCCAACCCTACGGGGAAAACCAGAACTCTCAAGGACCTCGTGGCTTAAATTCCAAGCACATCCTAAGATTGTGTGGGTCTGACCCGTGGTGGACTGACCGATCGCCTTCAGGATTCCCAGATTGGCCTCGCTGAGGCCGTCAGCAGACTTGAGGTAGACCGAGTACAGCGACAGAACAGGCCACCCAGGGAACTCAACCAACACTTTGACAACTCTATGAGCACATATGCACCCACAGCCTTCAGCGGGCCAGCGTAGCCCCACTGCTAAACGAGCAGAAACCGCCACTCCTGAAGATAGCTTCCCAGATCCAGCCGTGATCCGAGAAGGAATGACAAGAGCGTGCCACCCCAGTGAACGAGCAGCGGCGGTAGCCTGTCCGACAAAGACCTCGCTGATGCCAAACTCTTGGGCACACAGCACGGTCGCACTGGTCTCGGCCAGACGGCGGCGCAGCGTGCGCCGAGCGGATCCGTTGAACGTCTCCAAAAAATACGCGTTGTCATCGCTATTGCGCTCGGCGATCGACTTGCGCACGGCCGTGAGCTCAGACTCCATCGGTGATTGAATCGGGGAGCCGCCCAGGGCCGAACACTTCTTGATAGCGTTGATGGCCTCCTCCATGGCGTCAGCTTTGGCGCGGAGGGCAACCAGCTCTGCATCCCCCTCGTTGGCCTCATGTCCTCCAGCATCGACCTCGGGCGGTTTGCCTCCTGCACGGGCTGACCGATCACCTCCACCACGGGGTTTGCTGCCGCCCTGGGCACCACGATGACGAAATTCTTGGCGAAGGCCGACAGCTGCTGCTCCAACTTGGACTGCGACGATGAGGGCCCACGAGCCCAATCCCCGCGAGGAGGAGCGCCACCATCCCGGGGAGCTGGAGAACGCCCATCTTTCTTGGCCTTGAGCGCGTTGGCCTTGGCGCGCTGCACGACCGAGGTGGGTGCCGACTTGCCGCAGACACAGCGGATGCGGGAAACCCAGTTCTGGTTGCGCCCGCAATCAAGGCACCCCCATGACGGGTGGCGCGGCCCCGCGATCACCGCCTCGCCATCACGTCCCATGGGAGACCCTCCTCCGAGGGCAGTGGATGTTGCTCCGAAAGGAGCTCACTGAAAGCGTGAAGGTTGAAATCCCTCGAACTGCGCGGTAACAAACCAATTGACCAGCGAGAGCGACCGCCGCTCTGAAGATTGCTCTCGCAAGTCCAACATCACGGGCCTCAACGCCTGAGGAGGGGGAGGAGGAGGAGGAGGAGGACGACGAGGAGGAGGACGAGGAGGAGGGGGAGGAGGAGGAGGAAAACTAGGAAAAGGAGGACTCTCCTGGCGCTGTGTCCGCGCCTTCGGCCCCACAGAGGGCCCGCGTGATGGACGCCCTGGGCCCCCCCTCCTCCCTCCCTCCCCCCCCTCCCCCATCCCCCCCTGTTCCTTCTCCTCCTCCTGTTCTGCTCATCCTCCGATTCCACCCCCATGCTCCCCCGTCTTGGGGTACGACGCCTTAGTCAACCCACTATTCTTGTGCGTTCTCTCCAACATCCCCCATAAAAAAAGGGCAACTCATCTGGGCATCGTGTCTAGATGGGCGGCTGGGGATACGCGAGGCGTTCTAAAAGTTACACTGGCGAACGGCCCGCCCATGTGAAAGTGTGACTACGGCAATTGTGAGCCCCGCCTTCGGTGGTGCTCCCTGTAAAATCACGAAAACCATGAGGGTGTGCCAAAATGGGCGCGGTGGCGCCATGCGAACTCTGCCACTGTGGCCCTCGGTGAAGGTCCCTATGGGGCCACGAAGCGCGTGAGGGATGTGCCGGTGCGGTGGCGCCGTGCGTACCATGCCACTGGGGCCTTCGGTGGAGCTCCCTATTGGGCCACGAGGCGTGCGAAGTGTGTGCCGACATGGGTGCGGTGGAGCCGTGCGAACCCTGCCGCTGCGGCCTTCGGTGGAGCTCTCCGTGGGGCCACGAAGCATGTGAGGGGTGTGCCGACATGGTCCCTATGGGGCCACGGAACGTATGATGGGGGTGCCGAAATGGGCGCGGTGGCGCCACGCGAACCCTGCCACTGGGGCCTTCTGTCCACCTCCCTATGCTGCCACGAAGCGGTGCACTGGGCGCGCCGGAACAGAGGCACGCGGAGGGCAGATGCAAAGAGGGGAGGGGGGAGGGGGCAGCGGGAGTGAGGACGCGGGGCGCTGTCTCTTCAAAACGGGGGCCCAACTCCACAGGACAGGATGGTTGGAAAATAAAACCAATGATACTAAAAAGAAGGAACAAAACGAAGACCAAATGAAAAACACAAGCACGAACAGCAAATGTAAGCAGACACGTCCAAACATCTGCGCGGGATTCCGGGATTGCGGCTGGACGCCCTCCCTGGCGCGAAAGCCGCGCCAAGGGAGGCGCCAGAGGCGCCGCCACGGGGACCAGACGAGAAATCCGCGAGGAACTCCGAGAGGTAACGTTTAGGTCAGAATGAAAGGGCCGAAATGAGACAATTGTTTTCGCTCGTGGAGAATAACACGTGTTACCCTGGGGGGGGGGGCGGCGGGGGGGGGTCACTGTAATGGCGGCCGCGGCGCGCACCCTCCGGGGCGAGCCGCCTACGTCGTCGTCGTCGTCGTCGTCGCCGCCGTACAAACCCGCAGTGTCTGTGCACACAACACAATAAAAAATAGTATGTGTGTGCACCACGGCGGCTCTATTTATCAGAACAACCGTGTGCACCACAGCGCCTTTGTGCATCACGCTGCTTGTGCACACCGCGGCGCCTGCGTGCACCGCATCTGCTGTTTCAGCACCCTGCGTGCACCACAATGCCTGCGCACACCACGAATATTGAGTACACCTGAAGGTGCCGGCGGAACCAAACTCCAGAAAATCGCTGGGGGGCCGAACGTATCAAGTTCAATATTCGACCTAACTGTGAGCATTTGTTTTTCTGGCCCAAGGAACGCTCGGATCAGCTGGGCCCACAACGCCTGTGTACGCCAGTACGCCAAAGCGACTGCACACGTCATTGCAACTGCGCGCATCACGCCGCACGTGAACACCACGCGGCTTGGAGGCGCGCGGAGCGGCGTCAACCGAGGCAATACACGCAGGAGAAGCAGGCGGAACAGCAGCACCAGCAGGAGAAGCAAGCGGAGCAAAAGGAACTCCACGATAGGGGTCGACAGCTCGGGGCCCGCGCTGTTTTTCCAAGAGCACTGCCAAGATGCACGTCATGATGGCAACTGTACTTGTCTACATGAAAACGCCTAACAATGCCTGTGTGCATCACAGCAGCCGGCTACACCACAACGCCTGTGATTATTGACGCCACAGCTGCTGCTTCAGCACCCCTCCGTGTTCACCATACTGCCTGCGTTTACCACAAAACTTGTGTATACCTTTACGGCCCAGCCGGAGCCAAAGTCCGGGAACTCGTTGGGGGCCCGAATGCATCACATTCCATATGTGATCTTATTGTGATTATTGGTTTTCTGGTCTTTTGCGCCCGTAGCGAATGTGAAACACAATGCCTGTGTACATCACAAGGCTTGTTTGTACCACAATGCTTGTGTACATCACAATGCCCGCGTCCTGTATGCGGGCGAGGACGACGACAAGGATGGCGAAATTGAAGAGGGAGGAGGAGGAGGCAGTAGGAAAAGATGAGTGGGTACATGATAGCCGGCAAAGCACGCCTACATCATAGCGACTTTGCGAGCTACAGCGATTGTGTACATCCCGGCGCCTGTGCACACAACAGGGCCCGTGATGTGTACACCACAAAGCTTGCGCACACCCACCATGCCTGTGTACACCACTGCTGCTGCAACGACAAACGTTTGCGCCACGACGCCCGTGTACACCGCAGTGCCTGCATACACCAATAGGGCACGCCCGCGTGCACCGCGGCACTAGTATAGCCCGCATGCACCATAGGCCCGAAGCTGCCTGGGATCGCGCGCTGGATCTGGTCGGGGCGTTACCGTGAGGCGGGAGGGTGGCAGGGGAGGTAACACGTGTTATCCCTTGGGTGTATCACAAAATGGTCTCAAGGGTCTTAGAACACCCCGATGAGCGAACCTGAAGTGGGCGTCCGCGGTGAGGACTGCTGTCGTCCTCGCCCGCGACTCGCCCGCGACCAACCTGTGACCCACACGCAACCCATTCGCGTCCACCTACGACCCACCCGCGACCCGCACGTGACGTAGCTGCGACCCGTCGACGACCTGGTCGCGACCCGGAGCATGCTCGTTGTGTAGGGTGAGAAATGGGTGCCTGTGGCTACGTTGCTCCCATCGCAACTAAGAACCGCATCCGAAAATAATTTTGAAACACCCAGAAAAAGTATCGAAGCAGTGTCGAACGAGCATCGCCTCCCAGGGCCCGACACGTGAAAATCTAGAAGTTTCGCTACTTTCTCGGTGACCGGATTTGTTTCTGGTGATCAAGGCTATTGACGCAACGGCGCTCCGCCAAGAGGATCCAGACATTTAGCGTCTTGAGTTTGAGTTTCAAGAGAGAAATCACGATGTCGTGAGAAGCTCCTCTCTTGAACTTACGCACTCAAGAAAGAAATTTCGACGTCGAGAAAAAATCAAGAGAGAGAATACGACGCCGTGAGAAATTTGAATGTGACAGGATGGCGACCTCGTGAGAAACTCCCACGACGTAGTGATTTGTCTCACGCCGAGGCCCCTTCCCGGGGACGGGCTTCGCATCCCGAGTCGTTTGACGCTCATGGACCTATGTCGGGCCTGTCCCCCTACAGGGGGATGTTCGACGAAAACTAAAAAATACTCCAACCCACAGAAGGTCAAAAGATACTCAAACAATACTCCCCAGACTATGTTTGGACTATTTTTTGATTATGTTTGGGGTATTTTCAATTTTTCGTCGAAAATCCCCCTGTAGGGGGACAGGCCCGACTTACTCCTGGACCCTGATCAGGGCCCCCAGAGGCCGAAAGTGGGAGAGTCACAATGTCTCCAACGACGCGAGGGCGTCCTCGATAGATCGGCGAGAGGCCCGCGATGGCGAAACCGCACGTTCCTGGGCGGACTATCGCACCCGCTGGAGGGCACCCCACGGCTGGGAAGCCGACGAGAACAGACGAAGGGACCCGAAGACCTCGAAACTCAGAACTTCGATTGGCGTTGGAAAGACATCGTGCAACATCGATCTCCGAACAAGAAACACGACAGTCAAAAACCCTTAGAAGGACGCGCGGTAAGGACGCAAGACCCTCGGAAGCCGAAGTTTGGATTTTGGGGGTGGCGGACGACGAAAACCCCAAGGGTAACCTGACAAGCGGGCAAGCGAAAGAGGCCAAGGACGAGCCGCAAGAGCAAGGAAGAGCAAGGACGCAAGGGTACCCTGAGCAAAGTCGCGCGTCCTTATTAGGGTTTTTGACTGTATGGTAGATAGCGTGCAATCAGCGGTCCGGCGACGCAGCGTTGAACCGATCCCTGTCCCCACTGGCGTGGCCTGGGCCGATTCACCCCCCTGGATGGGGATATTGGTGACTTCTTTTGAGTTCCGAGGGGTATATCCACAGCTGGGGTGGTGGAGTGGTGGGGATCGGGATGGGGTTCGGGGTGAGGATAAGGATCAAGGGAAACCAACAGGTACCGATACCGCTACTCCCCAGTCCTCCCCCCGGGTGCGTTCTGACCAGAATGTCGAGGCGAATCCACCGGTGGCGACGAGGGCCTCCCAGGAGGCCAAAAAAGGGGGACAACGGGCGAAGGGTAAAGGTATGGGTACCATTTTCGGGGAACTACTGACCCGGGTCAATCCAGTCCCTGTTCAAAGACGGCCTTGCAGAATCCTGCAAGATCCTGCAGGATCCTGCACCCAAGCCCGGGTCAATGCACCCCTGGCCATGCAGGATCCTGCAAGATCCTGCAGGGGAAAACGGGCGGAGGCTGCCGGTATGGGTACCTGTTCCTCCTCTGACGACGAGGACGAAACGACGACGGCGGCGGCGACGACGACGACGGCGATGACGACGGTGACGACGACGACGACGACGACGACGACGGCGACGACGACGACGATACTGACCCTGGGTCGGGGGCTCCTCGAGCTCAGCCCGGCTCGGCGCCCAGCCCTGCAGCGCGCCGTAGGCCTCCTCCAGCAGCTGGCCGCAGAGCGGGGCCGGCAGCAGCGCCAGCGCGCCGGCGCCGGCGCCTGCGACCGGAAGGAGGAGTTGCTGGGGACGGGCCTACGGCCAGGTGGGCGACGACAAGAAAGGGCCCTTACGCGAGATAGCATAGAATCATGACACTGCCATGGCAGAAATAACGCTACATAAGGAACGAAGGAGCGCTCCCTCTGCAGAGGGAACGCTAAATAAGGAGCGTTCCTTCTGCAAAGGGGCGCTCCTTCTGCAGAAGGAACGAAGGGGCGTTCCTTATGTAGGGCTTTTTTCTGCAGAAGGAACGCTACATAAGGAGCGAAGGGGCTTGTCTGACCACCGCGGGCATTGGCCACGAATTGGTTCCCCGACTTAGATCTCAGGAGCGGCCCAAAATCCGAGCTCCTCCTCCTCCTCCTCCTCCTCGTCCTCCTCCTCCTCCTGCTCCTCCTTTTTGTTCCTCCTCCTCCTTTTCATTTTCGTCCTCATCCGCCTCCTCCTCCTCCTCCTCCTGCTCTGTCTCCTCTCCCTGAGCCCAATGTGGTCCTTGTTTCAACGCCTTGACTGTAACGACCTTACGCAATGGTTTGCGCGGGCCGCCGGCGCGGCACGTCAGACTGGAAAAGAGGGCGTCTGCGCGCGAACTTGCGAGGGAAGCTTGCGCGCCGATGTCGGTGAAAACGGCCCTCTTTTTGTTGCGTCGCTCGGGCAGTCCGGAATCTCAGCCAAAATGGGAAGGTCCAGGGTTTGACTCTGCGCTGCACGGTGACGGGGCTCTGGTCGACGCAGCTCCCCGTCGCCAAGGCGGGCCCTCTCTTCGAGGCCGGACGAGGTCCAACCTTGCTCGCGAAAGACGAAGCCGACCGGAGGAGAGAGGGCAGTCCGCGAACCCAGCGAGGGGGCTCGCGCCTTGGAGCGAAACTCAGGTCGGAGGGTGCATGGACCCCTCTTCGAGGCCAGACGAGGTCCAACCTTGTTTGCGAAAGACGAAACCGACCGGAGGGGAGAGGACACTGCGCGAAACCAGCGAGGGGGCTCGCGCTTCGGAGCAAAACTCAGGTCGGAGGGGGCATCATGTTTGGACTCCCTACAAGTCCTGTTCCGATGAATGGGGGTGCATATGCGTTGGGGTTGTGGGGGCCAAACAACTATGCACCGTATCGTTCCTGGGTCGGGGATCGGTGACGCCTCGGGAGACGCCAGCGCGGTAGGGTGCGCACAAATCGTCTGCGGCCCCACCCCCTCGCCCCCACCCCGAGGCACATAGACTCGCGCCCACCTTTTGCGCAATCCCCTCTCGGGCCTCCAAGGCTCCTGGTGGGCCTGGGGGGGGATCTTGCCTCGCCCCCACACCCCCGACGCCGTGGTACTCTCAAGAGTTGGGGCTCTCGCGAAGGCGTCCGCGGCAGCGACCGAAACGAAGACCGACCGACCCGACAGCGGAGCGGAACCAAAACAACGGCCGAACCGAAATATCGAATGTAGCCCCGGAGGACGCAACTGCGCGCCGACCGTCTGAACCGAATAGACCGAATGAGGCGGACCGCGAAATAGCCGAACCGACCAAACAGCGGACACACACTTTCTGGAAACCCTTACCCATTTTTGTATGTTTCTGTCTAGGGGTCCCAAAACTTTCTGGTGACACAGACCGCGCGAAAACCTCGCCCCAAAAAACATGGGATTCCAACGTGGGTATGTTACGATGGGGAATGTCATGAATCAAACCTTGCAATACATAGCATGCCTATTTGTGCATATGCGGTCTGGTAAAGCGAGGCGGCATCAACGCGGGCGTCGTGGACTCGAGGTGTTAGTTTGGCAACACGACGCGCACGACTACCCATATCATCGAGCTGTGCAACCGATTACTGTGTTCTGGGGGGGGGCACACGGACACGCAGAACACTGATCAGCTGAGCGTTAAATGGCGCCCTCCTCATCCTCATGCCCCACCCCCCGCCCGCTCCCAATATCCCTGCGTTTTCGACCAACCTTCCTCGTGCCATTCGACTCCCCCCACTCCACATCATGCCCTTCATCCTCATTGTCAACCTCCCCATATGTTAGTTCGCATCGTTCCTCGTCGTCCTCCTCCGCCAAATGAGTTCCCCCATCAACCGCATGCCCGCCCCCCTCCCATCCTCTACGCCCTAGCGCACATCATCCTCATTCCTTCTGCCCCCCCCCGGCCCCCTCTCGTCCTCGCGATGCTGACACCGATGATGCAGTTCCTCCTGGGCCCATTTCCTCCCCACTCGTCCTGTCCCTTCCATCCCCGGCCCCAATTCGCCGTCCCTCCTCTCGAACCCCATCCCCCCCTTAGCCCGGCATCCCCACCCCCCGCGCCTGTGCCACCCCAGACCGCGGCCCCTTCCTGGACCAGCCGGAATTCCGCGCAACAGCACATATAGAAACGCGCGATGTGTTTTCGACAGCGCACAACGCCCCCCCAGTACCAGCCGAAAGAAAAAGGCAGAAGTTCCCGCCGAGCCAACACCAACCGCACACACAAATGGGAACAACATCTGCGGACACAGATCACACCACGATCCGTGTAAACACTGAACGCACACGCGCAAATACACAGTTGAGGACACCAGCTGCGCACACAGATCACACCTTGGTTCGTGCATTTCGAGAAAAATAACCGCTCGCCACATCGACGGCGCCCCGACTTTTCCAACCCAGAACCGAGGCCGACGTGCCCAGATAGGCGGGGATGCAAACGCAGACTTCCCTGGCCCAGAGCGGCCCCGAGGGAGCTGCAAACGCACGCTTCCCTGGCCCAGAGGGGGCAACTGTGAAATGCGGCGCCAAAGCGGCCCCCAACGGCCCCAAATCGCCCCCAAATACTCCGAAGGGCCCCAATGAAGGCCGCGCAGCATGCTGTCCGAGAGGTCTCACATGTTATGGAACTCTGAACAGCCAAAGTTCCACGCGCCGCCATACAGACCGCTGCGCTGATAAGGGGCGGACCTCGCAGCAGGCACCTGCAAGTTCACATGTCAGGGATGCGACTGTGCGTGGAGGCGTGCCGACCGCGCTCAAAGTGCGCCCCGAACGCTTGCATCGGCAATCCCCTATATTTGGTTGCGCCGTTGTGCTGTGATGTCGACAGGGCGGTATACCGCTGATACGGGCGCGCGGCGCCAGGGACTGCACTTTCTTTGTTCGAGCGACGAAAGGAGGCGAGGTAGGACGGCGGACGGCGAAGCAGCGAGGCAAAGAGGAACGAGGAATACTGGGGGAAGTAAAACGGGGCCTTCCCGCCCGAGCCGCGGACGCGGTCGACGCCATCCAGGGGGGGGGGTCGCGGGGTGCGGGCCAAAGGCGAGGGCGACGACATGAAGCAAACTGTCCTCGGTCCGCGCATAGCCGCATGCTCGCGGGTAGGGCGCGCGCGCTTGCTTCGAGGCGATTCGAGCCTGGCCCATGCTGAATTCAGGAACACCTTCAAAGTGTGTAAATACTCTGCTCTCTGTGCCAAGCCCCACGCAACTGCCTCAAACCAGACTGGCAGCGCATTCCGGGGGGGGGGGGGGGGGGGGGGGGGGGGGGGGGGGGGGGGGGGGGGGGGGGGAAAAATCGCCGCGCGGCCCGTCACCGCACAGCTCGGGGACCCTGGGGGCCCCAGTCGCCCGAGACGCCTTCGGAGAACGACCCTGGCGCCCAAACAGCGCGGCGACCTCAAGTACCCGCCAATTCGCCACGCGGCGCGCTTACCATACTTTTGGGGGCCTCCGATTGCCATCCCGAGCAGTCTTCCGACGAGCCTTGGACCGCGCGCCAGCGCCAGCGCGTGCTTTCTTCTCCCCCCGAAAGGCCTGTCGCAATCTGCGCAGGCTTGAGCACGGTCACTGGGCGGCGCTGGCAACCCTTCGGCCCCCCGAGGGGCGCCCCGGCACTCGCAGCTCACGCTCGCCCACGCGGGCGCGAGACAGGAAAAAAAACGCAACGCTGCTGCGCTGCTGCGCTGCTGCGTCGGCGCGCGCCGCGCAGCAGGACCAAAAATGCGCCGCGCAACTACGTGCATATCGATCCCGAGTTTTTCCAGCTCAGCCAAAACGAACAAGACGGAGAAGCAGGCGGGCTCGGGGCACCCCTGGCGCCGCCGACAACGCGAAAGAAGAGGTATTCGGCACCTCCTGCAGTGCGCACGGGCCGGAGGAGCGCCGCAACGCGCTCGCGGCCCCGAGGCCTTCGGGCACTTGGCCGGCAATCGCGAGGAGACGGGCTCGGTTCTGAGCCCCGCGGACGCGACGCCCTCAGCCTCCGGAGCTGAGGGCACCCTTGCCCTCGCCGCTGATGTGTGAGTCGCACACCTCGCAGGCGCCATAGGTCTCACTCTCGCCCGGGCCAATGATTTCCGTCGCGGCAACGCCAACTAAGGTCTCCGTCGGGGCCCGCGCCTTCGTGAGGCGCGCCGCCTTGACGGACCGATCGCACTTGGTAGACTCGTGCGCGCAGGAAGCGCGCAGAGACTACGACCTGCTGAGCCTTGTCGACCTGCACCTCCTTCATGAACTGCCAGGGCGGCTCGAACTCCGCCTTCTGGCAACTCTTCATCAGCTCCTCCACCTGCTCGAACTTGGAGCTGTCTTTGTTCCCCCCCCTGCGGAAGCGAACTTCCTCCATGATCACTACGTCCTCGCGGACGGACCCGCACTGGCGCATGTCGATATTGTCATCGAAGTGGCCGTCGATGCCGACGATGGCGATGTCCTGCGCGCCGCGGGCGCGACGCCGCCGCCCCGTCTGCTGTCCGCACTGGGGCGACGCCTCCGCGCCCTCCCCGAGGACGCCATGCTCCGCGGCGTTCCTGGGCGCCGTCGCCCAGCCGTCGATCTCGATCGGCCCGTCACGGACCGCCGCCTCGACATTTGCTCGCAGGACGGCATTGAAGAGCTCGACCTGCGCCTGGACATCGTGAGCCAACTCCCTGTCCTCGACCTGCAGGTTGCCGCCGCCAGCCCAGGCCGTTCGCCAGAGGGCCACCGCTGTGGCCGCCACCACATGGCGAGAGCCGCCACCGCGCACAACAGTTCCGAGGAGAACATCCGCCATCGTGTCGGCCATGGCCGTAGCCAGCTCGAGCCAGGGGCTGGGCGAGCAGGCCGCTTGAGCCAAAATGGTTGCGGACAACGTGCGCTTGTCCACCGAAACCCCTCAATACGATACAATCGGTGCAGCAACGGCCAACACAGTTTGCGTGCTCCCGGCGGCGCTGACCAAGGTAATATACACACGCACACAGACACACACACACAAACACACACACACACACGCACGCACGCACGCACACACACACACACACACACACAGCACACACACACACACACACTAACACACACACACACACACACACTGGGCAAACACACGTGGTGGCGTTCATGCATGAAGTGTTATATTTTCCAGGGGTGGGCATTACATGGAAGAGAAAACGCAGAAACTGAGCAGATCACGGCAACGGAAACCAGGGCTCCAGGGGAGGGGCCCGCTGAAAAATCACGCCAAAGACATAGACCCCATTATTATGCTGCATGTGTCGAGCCGGATCGATATGTGAGGGTCCCCGGGCCCGAACAGAAAAGAAAACGCCTGGCTCGAACAAATTGAGACGTCAGGATCTCAGGGAACCTCTGGGAGTCCTCTGCAGCCCCCAAAGGCTCCCAGAGGTCCAGGGGCCTCCATATGCCTGCTCCCGAGTTTTCAGACGGACCGGCACCTCCCCAAAAACTGCTCGAACCTCGATCCTCCTCCAGATGAATGCCAACTACGGCCAGACCTAAGACAGAGGAACACCCTCCAATAACATCAAGCCCTCCGCTAGCCAAACTAAAGAGCACTCGAGGGTACACTGCCCAGGATGCACAAGAACATCCAGCAGACAAGAAGAACACCACGTAGTAGAAGAAGGAGAAAAGGCATGAACCTAAACTATTGGCGCTCCGCGCGGATTTCTTGGACCTGCGCTGGACCCCCCCCCTTTGCGCGGACCCAAGAAACCCGCGCGCAGCCTCAATGTTTATGTTTTATGGCGTTGTCTTCTTGCCCATCGACATTAGGGTACCCATCCCGAGCCAACCTCGATCTCATACCTCGGTCCGACCGTCTGCGCCGCTCGGCCCCGGCCTCAACCAATCCTGGCCAGACCGTGTGGCTCGGGGGCAGAAAAGGGCCGAGAGACCTGGCCCAGCAGGGGTCCAGCCAGGATCGGGGCTTCTGCAGTGCGCGGAGGGGCCACGATAAGGGGGGGCGCATCGACCTGGAGGAGGAGGAGGAGAATGAGGAGGAGGAGGAGGAGGAGGGGAGGAGGAGGGGGAGGAGGAGGGGGAGGAGGAGGGAAAGGAGCAGAAAGAGAAGGAGGAGGAGCAGGAGGAGCAGGAGGAGGAGCAGCAGGGGCAGGAGGAGCAGGAGGAGCAGGAAGAGGAGGAGGAGGAGGAGGAGGAGGAGGAGGAGGAGGAGGAGGAGGAGGAGGCAGGAGGATCCCCCGCCAGGGGCTGAGGAGGCTTTGCAATTCGCCAAGGGCGAGAAAATCGGCCTGGAATCGGCTATGCATCGCCGACTGATCGGCGACGGGCGCTCGCCGGCGAAGCCTCACTTTCCTGGGCGGGGTGGGCTATCGGCCCCTGTCGGCGATCAACGGGCGCTTGGGGGTCCATGCATCCACCCCTGAGTCGATCTCCCCGAAACGTTGCCCATGGTCGACATTGTCTTGCCCTGGGCCTAGAACAGCTTCATTGGCGCCGAAGCCGCGCCCCCGCGCGCGGCGCCACAGACCACCCACGATCAGGGCACGGATGGACCCGGCGCCGACCCTCCGCGGGGGTGGGGCCCGCATCTTGGGCCAAGGGGAGCAAGAGGATCATCAGCCTGCCAAGAGGAGGACGAGGCCGCAGGATGAGGCAGAAGAGGGGGCCGGAGGGAGAGGCCGGCGGGGAGACCCGTTCCTTCTCCCTCCCCCTGTCTCACGCTGAGGAAGCCTGCACCCTCGCCATCCTCTTCCCCCCCTGGCTCCTCCCTCCTCCTTCGTCCCGCCTCCACTGCTGGAGCGGCTGGAGGCGGGACGGAGCAGCGGAGAGGTCGGCGGGGGGAGGGGGCGCAGGAGACAAGCGGAGGAGGCGCCCGTCTGCTCCGTCCCAGCCTCCAACTCCTCATGCCGGAAGGGGGGGGGAGTTGGAGGAAAGAGCTGGCGATGTGTGGGAAGAGAAGAGAGGAGGCGGGCTTGAGGCGACGGTGGGGCCTGAAGTGGCTGGGACCCCAGGAAATCGGTCAGAGGAGGGGGGGGGCGATGAGGTGAGGACGAATCCGCTCAAAATCATTCCCCAAACCCCGCCAAATCTCCACGCGGTATGACGCTCCACCCCGGGTAAAATCGTCATTGTCCTGGGGCCCGAAAGCGGCCCAGAGGCCGACAGAAGCCAACACAAATCCTTAACGAAACCAGAACCTCGAACCTGCCCGCCCTGCCTGCTCGCCAGAGCCAGCGCTGGACCACCTCGGGCCCCTCCGACAGCTCCAGAGAGGGAGGGAGGCTGGCGGTGCAAGGGAGGAAGGAACCTGGGTGGCGATGCGGCGGGAGAAGATAGCAGGGGACATGTCGACCCCTACCCCAGGCTCTGGGCGGCTTCCGAATGGACCAACACAAGTGTGGGCCCAACGCTGGGACATACGAGGCGGGGGCGTCCGTCCTCGACAGAGGTGCCTCCGAGCAGCCCCCTGGGGGTGTCTTCCAGGGTCTCCCTCCTCCTCCTCTGAGCGGCCCCAGTTCCGTCGAAAAGTCAGGGGGGGAGAGAAACATCGCCTCTGAGAGCTGGCGATGTGGAGGGAGAAGATCGGCGGCAAGCGAGAGGGGGAAAAAGAAGGAGAAGGCCTTCTCAGAAGGCGGCGGGAGTTCCCAGAAGCCCTCGTGCCTTCTGGCCAGATTCTTTTGTTCCTGTCTTCGGGGGAAGCGTACTTCTCAGAAGGCCAGGGGAAACTTCCGAGCCTTCTGCGAGGGCCTTTTCCTTCACACCTGCCCCCCTCGCTCGCCGCCGAGGAGAGGGTGGAGGCAGAGAAGGGCGGTGACACTTTTTCTACTGTCCAGTGAAGCCCAGTGGCACAGGAGAACACAGAAAAGGAGGAGGAGGAGGAGGCGGAGGAGAAGGAGGGGGAGGAGGAGGGAGGAGGGAGGAGGAGAGGGGGGAGGGAGGAGGGAGGAGGGAGGGAGGAGGAGGAGGAGGAGGAGGAGGAGGAGGAGGAGGACGAGGAGGAGGAGGAGAGGAGGAGGAGGAGGAGGAGGAGGGAGAAGGGAGGAGGAGGGAGGAGGAGGGGGGAGGAGGGACGAGAAGGAGGAGGGGGAGGAAAAGGAGGAGGAGGAGGAGGAGGAGGAGGAGGAGGAGGGAGGAGGGAGGAGGAGGGAGGAGGAGGGGGGAGGAGAGAGGAGGAGGGACGAGAAGGAGGAGGGGGGGGAGGAGGAGGAGGAGGAGGAGGAGGAGGAGGAGGAGAGGAGGAGGAGGAGGAGGAGGAGGAGGAGGAGGAGGAGGAGGAGGAGGAGGAGGAGGGGAGGAGGAGGAAGAGGAGGAGGGAGAGGAGGGAGGAGGGAAAAGGAGGGAGGAGGAGGGAGGAGGAGGGAGGAGGAGGAGGAGGAGGAGGAGGAGGAGGGAGAAGGAGGGAGGAGGAGGAGGGAGGAGGAGGGAGGAGGAGGAGGGAGAGGAGGGATGAGGAGGAGGGAGGAGGAGGGAGGAGGAGGAGGAGGAGGGAGAGGAGGGAGGAGGAGGGGGAGAAGGCCAAGCAGAGGGTGGTGACACAAGGTCGTGAAACTGACGCCGGCGGTGAAGCCATCTCGGGCGGGGGGCCGGCCGCCCATCACCCCCGCGAAGGACGCCGGGGCCCCGAGCAACGACGACGACGACGACGACGACGACGACAGCGAAGACGACGACGACGACGACGACGACGACGACGACGACGACTCTGACGACGACGACGGCGACGACGGCGACCGCGACCGTGACCACGACGGCGACGACAACGACGCCGCCGCCGACGCCGCCGACGACGAGGATGACGGCGACGACCACGACCACAAGAGCGACGACGACGACGACAACGACGACGACGAGGAGGACAGTACAAGGACGAGGACGACGACGACGACGACGACGACGGTGAGGTCGACGTCAACGACGACGACTCCGACGACGACGGTGAGGTCGACGACGTCGTCGACGACGGCCGCCCAAGGGCCCAGAAAGGGCCCCGAGAAGACCGAAAACGGCGGCAAAAATCCGCCGACCCATTGGGGTTCATCGGCGTGTGAGATGTTCCCCCTCCCCAAACCCCTCCCCCGGGAGCCCGGTCCGGTCGATTTGGAAGGGGGGGGGGTCGGGCCGGATCCCCCGGACGGGAACGGAGGGGTCATCCGCTCCCGAAAATCGTGCAAAACCTCGTGAAAATCGTGCAGGGACGCCTCTGGTGGCCTCGACATGGCTCTGGGACGCCCAGCGAGCGCTCCAAGCCGCCCAAGGTGGCCCAAAGACGGGCCCCGAGGCGTCCTCGACGGCAGAAGAAGCCCCCACGAGCCCCCCCGAGGGCCTCCGAGATGCGTTCCACGAGGGTCCCTAGACGCAAAAATTGGCCCATTCCCCTTGTGAAACGTACATTTTTCACAAATTCGGCTTTGGGCCTTTCCGATGCTCCCCGACGGCCCAAGAGGCCCCCAAACCCGCTCCCAGACGGCTCCAGGAGCCTCGCGGGAGCCCGGTCCGGTCGATTTGGAGGGGGGGGGGGTCGGGCCGGATCCCCCGCATGGGAACATCCGCTCCCGAAAATCGTGCAAAACCTCGTGAAAATCGTGCAGGGACGCCTCTGGTGGCCTCGACATGGCTCTGGGGCGCCCAACGAGCGCTCCAAGCCGCCCAAGGTGGCCCAAAGACGGGCCACGAGGCGTCCTCGACGGCAGAAGAGGCCCCCACGAGCCCCCCCGAGGGCCTCCGAGATGCGTTCCACGAGGGTCCCTAGACACAAAAATTGGCCCATTCCCTTCGTGAAACGTACATTTTTCACACATTCGGCTTTGGGCCTTTCCGATGCTC